GGGGGGGGGGGGGGGGGGGGGTTGGGTTTGGGGGGGGGGGGGGGGAGAGACTTTGGTCAGGGTCTTTCTCTCCCTCTCAAACCTCCCTCCTTTTACCCAACTGCCACACCCCTCAAAAAGGATCAATGAAAAAGACCCCCCCCCCGGTTTCCTGCTCCTTTGCACAAGGCACCCCCAAGACAGGCTGCTTCACGGCTCTTCCTAGGCCCCCAAATCCTAGATCTAGGGACTTGGGGGGGGGGTGTCAGCCAAGTAGAAGGAAGCTGGGGCACCAGGAGGAACAATTAAAGGGCTCCTCCAAAGGACGCAAAGGTTTTGGGGTTCCCGAGGTCTCTTCCTACAGGAAGCAGAAAAAGGAGGGGCAGAAAGACACCCCCGAAGAGCTTCCTTTTATAAATGGCAACCGTCCCCTGCCCCCCCTCCCCCAATTCCACTTGGGGAGGAAAGTGGGACCAGGGCCAGCAAAGCCCTCCCTCCAAACCCCAATTTCTCTGCCCTGCCAGGACCTGCCAGCCCCTCTCGGCTCTCCGGGTGGCTTCCAGCAATCCCCCCTCCAAACGCCACAGCCCCAATCTTGAGCCTGGGGGCCAAAATGAGGCTGTCCGAGGAGGAGCCCGGAGCCCCCGGGGGGAGCCGAGCCGAAGGCGCAGGGCAGACCTCCTGCAACGGGAGCTCCCCCACCCCCAGCAGAAGCTCCTTGTGGGGCCTGATGGGTTTTGGGGTCCATGTGCTTCATGGTATGGGATATGTAGTGCCCATATGGAGAAAAGGCCTCGGGACAAAGTTCCCTAGATTTTTACTCTGCCTTTGGGGGGGAAAACGTCACCAAAAGCCCCCCAGGTTCTCCAGGAAGGAAGAACAAGAGAGGAGGGGATGCAGTAACTGGCCCTGAAGACTTCTCTCCCTTCTATCCACAGGGATCTCCAGCCCCCCCCCCCCCAAGCGGTTTACAGAGGCAGCCTCTTGGCCCCCAGCAATCCGGCTCCTCATTGACTGAGCTCAGTCAACCTGGAGCCGGTCAGGATCGAACTCCTGGCAGTGGGCAAAATCATCCTGCAATCCTGCCCTCTAACCACTGCGCCACCACAGCTCAGAACTCTCACACTTTGATACCCTGTGCCGTTTTTAAATTCTTCCGTTTCAGCCTAATCCCACACCGACCTCTGCCCCCTTCTGAGCACAGCTGGAGAAGAGACCGGGGGGGGGGGTGTGTGCCACTCTAGCCCCCCCTCTTCCTCCCTTTGGTGGGGTGAGGGGAGCCCACCCTCAGGGGGTCTCTCTCCCAGGAAGCTCTGCATGCAGGGGAAACGCCAGGGCCTCCTGGGGCCTTGCAGGGAATCGCCCTGGGGGGTTCCTGAGGCCCAAAGGACGCTGCCTGAAGGGCCCCCTAAGGACGCCTGCTCAGCCAGATGCCTCTGCCCTGAATCGGGGAGCTCCGGGGGGGGGGGCAGGGGGGAGTGCCAGCTGTCTTCGAAAAGGACTGGCTGACGGGCAGCCGAAGGGAGGCTGAACTGATCTCTTCGGACACAGGAGGGGGGAAGACCGGAGACCCTAAACGGCTGCTATAGGGACAGGTGAAGTGCCTGGAGGAGGAAGGGGGGGGGAAGGGCAGGTTTGCAGGTGCCCCCCCCACCTGCCCTTCCATCTTCTGAAAGAGACCCCTCCCTCTCCCCCTGGGCCTTTTCCTCTGGCCAGCCTGAATCAGACCCAAGGGGGAAGGGAGGGGGCGCCTCTCTCTCCTTGGACCTCAGGCCAGGCGCCCCACAAGCGATGCTGCTCCAGCAGACCCACAATCCCTCTGCAGCTGGAGGGTGTGCCTTCCACACAACAAGCGCAAAGCAGCAGAGAGCCACTGGGGCCACTAGCCCCCCCCCCTCCGGCCAGGGAAGGGAAAGGAGGGCGCCCCCTGCAGGCCCTTGTTCCAAGCGACACGGGAAGGCAGCAACTCTGGGCATCGGCCAAGGCAAAGCCCAGCGGGCACCTTTGCCTTCAGCCCCCCCCCTTCTGGTGGTCAAGCAGCAGCCCCCCCCCCCCGGCTATGTCCCAAAGTGGGGATCTGGGCGAGAGGCAAGGAGGCCCCGCCCACTCCCCTTCAAGCACCCAAGGGGGGGGGACAAGGGTTGTTTCTGGGGGGGAGGGGGCTATTCCCCCCCCCCTCCGAGGCTGGCAAAGGCCTGGGCACCCTCCAAAAGCCAAAGGGAGCTTTTCCCCCTGGTCCTCCACTCAGGAGCCCCCGGCCTGGAGGGGGGCAGAGGAGGGCTGTGCACAATGGGGCCCATGCAGTGGGGGAAATCTAGTGCAGGCGCCCAGAGGCACCATCTGGGAACAGGTATTCTGGGTGGGGGACAGGACAGCCTTGGCAGCTACTGGGGGGGAGGGAGGGAGGGAGAGAACGGGGGGGGGAGCAGAAGGGCACGGCGACCCATTGCAATGGACTGGTTTGGGCATGGGGAGGGAAGGGGCAGGGGGTGGACAGCTCCTTGGAAGCGGGGGAGGGGGGGAATGGGGTTCAGGGCAGCAAACAAGCAGAGAGACTTACGAGTGGAGGCCATGGACCCCCCCCTCAATCTGGGCTGACATCGTCCTCTTCTCAAACTTCAGTTCCCCTGAATACATCATGGAGCTGGGAAGAGAAAGGGGAGAGGGGCTTAGTGGGGCTTCCTTCTCCCCGAAGCCCACCAGGAGCTCTGGGCTTTGTGCAGAGGGGGCACGGGGGATACTTGAGGGGTCTGAGCTATAGCAGGCTCAAACTTCCCAGCCACCTTGGAGACACAGAGAGAGAAAAAGACAGACAGAGAATGAGGGGGGGGGGAATCAATGGACCCCCGTCTAAGGGGGAGCTCCCAGCCAAGGACCCAAGGCCTTGGGGGGGGGGGGCAGTGAGCTTTGGCAACATACATATGGATGGAGGGGGCAACACAGGGTACGAAGAAAGCTGACCCGTTTCCTGCTGGGGAGGGGGGCAAGAAGGGGAGAGACAGCCTGGGGAGGAAGAAGTGGGACTGCTCCCCACAGGGGCCTTCTTGCCCCCCCTCCTTCCCAGGCCAGGCTCCTGCAGAGAGGCTCTGACCGAGGCCTGAGAGAGGCTGCCTGGATTTCAGGCCACCCCGTTCTCCTTGCATTTCCACTGGGGGACACTGCTACGCGGGGGGCCCTGCCACAAAGGGCCCCTCCCAGGACCTCCTGCTGCGGGAGGCTCCCCCTCCGCCTCCCTGGGTGCCCTGCCGTCCCTGACGCCTCCCCTTCCTCTCTCCCATCTGCGGCCCAAGGCGGCCGCCCCAGCCCCGGGGGTCCCAGAGGGGAGCCCCCCCCATGGACTCACCGCAGAACGGAGAGGCTTCTGGCGCCAATGTCCTGGCAGCCGTGCTGGATACCAGCAATCAGGTATGGCACAAACTTGTGGATGGAGCCCTTGTCCTGGATGGAGCCGGAAACCCCCTGTGCCACCTTCACCTTGTCCCCCTCGCTGCAAGGCAAGGCAGGGGGGGGGCGCTGGAGGGCAGTCTGGCCAGCCCCTCCCCTCCTCTCCCCCCAGATGCGGTGGGGCTGATGGGCCTCCCATCCCAGGGCAGCAGCTCAGCTGTGGCACTGCTGGCAAGCTAGGAACCCTCCCTCCTGAGCTGGAGCCCCCAGGCCCTGGCAGAAGAGCCCCCGCCCCTTTCGCAGGGGCTCTCTTGGGGCAGCCCCTCCCTTTCCTCCTGCTGCTGTTGCCATGGGGGCCCTCCCCCTCCCCTCCCCCCCACCTGAAGTAGCGTTTCTGGCTGCTGCGGTTCTTCTCCATGGCGTCCAGGGAGCCCATCCCCCGATACTTCTTCAGCCGCACTCCGTCGGAGAAGAAATACTCCCCGGGGGCCTCTGTGGTGGCCGCCAGCAAGGAGCCCATCATGACTGGGGGGAGAGGAGAGGGCTGGAGGTAGGGCTGGGGGCCACAGCCAGGGGGCCCTGCCACTAGGGGGTGGGGGTGGGTGGGAGCCCCATCAGGCCAAGCCTCCCTCCGGCCGGGGTCCTGGGGGGGCTCGGGGGCCAGGCCCAGCCACCCTCTCCCACGTCAGCCTCCAGGGACACGGAGGAAGAGGTGGGGAGAAGCCCCCCTGAGCTGCGCTGAGGATTGGGGGGGGGCTTCAGGGCCCACAGCGAGGCATCACGAGCTCAAGGGGAAAAAGCTCCTCCAATCCAGAGGTCATTTTCAAAGGACGGACATTCAAGGCCTTCACTCAAAGGAGGCCCGCCCTCTGCTGGCGGCCTTTATGCATGCAATGCCCATTGGCAGGAGAGAGCATGCGAGCGCACGCATGTATTGTGGCAGCACTGATCTCCCTGTCCCGGAGCACCATGGCTCAGGCCTTTCTCCCCCTCCCAGGGGAAGCCCCCTCACCTGTGGAGGCCCCCAGCGAGAGGGCCTTGACCACGTGGCCCACCGTCTGGATCCCGCCATCCGCAATCACAGGCACCCCAAACCGGCGGGCATATTCTGCCACTTTGTAGACTGCGGTGCCCTGAGGCCGGCCGCACGCCATCACTGAGGGAGGGAGAGTCATAGGCAGGAAGGGCCCACCGAGGGTCCGGCCCAGCCCTCGGGCCCCCCGGCAGCTCCAGAGAGCCATCGGCTGCAGCCAGGGAAGCCCAGGAGGCTCTGAGCGGAGACCCAAGGAGGAAAAGAGGGTGATTGCGTTGCAGGCTCCGGGCACGGGAGCGCCAACCTTCCCAGCTCCCGGAACGCTGCAGCCGGTGCCCCTCCAGGCTCCGCCCTCAGGGCCCACTGCCAATGGCAAGAACGGCCTTCTGAGCATTTCACTCGGCCTCGCCCAGCCTCGCTGACCGGCAGACCAGTCCGGAGGTGAAGGCCAAGAAAGGGGCTCTCTGGCCTTTGCTGGCGGGCAGGGGATTTGGGGCAGCCTCTCTTTCGCTTGCTGGCTGGGCAAAGGCCGGCCCCAGAGGGTCACCGGGGCTGCCTGGGGGCTGCACGGAAGGCTGAGCCCAGAGGGGCCGCCTCCAGGATCCCGGGGAGCACATGAGGAACTCAGAAGCTGCTTCCTCCGAGGCACAGGGAGTGTCCACCCCAGACTCACCTTCCTGTGTGATGCAGATGGAGCCGCAGCCCATGCCCACACGCAGGGCGTCCACGCCAGCGTCGATCAGGTTCTTGGCCTGGGCAGCTGTCACCACTGTGCATCCCGTAGGACAGAAAGCAGAAGGGCCCGTAAGACCCCCGAGCAACAAAGGGCCTCCCCCCCTCAAGGCCCCCGGAGGCCACTCTAAGGCTCCCTTCTGGTACAGAGGACAGACACCCCCCCCCCACACACTCACTCTGCAGCCTCCCTGCCCCCCCCTTTGGGCACAATAAAGCCAGAAAATGTCAATGCAGGAATTTCTGCGAAGTCACTGAGTGCAGAGAGCCAAGAAGCTCTCAGGAGGCACTTCCAGAAACAGCTACGCACAAAAGCCCCCTCCTCTCTAGGCGGAACCCAACACTTTCTGCGTGTCCTTCTTGCACCAAAGGGACACAACGGCCAAAGGAGGCCACTCCGGTCCCTATCTAACCTGTCTGTCCATGCGTCCTTCCGTCCATCCATCCATCGGTCCATCCATCCATCGGCCCATCCATCCATCCATCTTTAGTTGCAGACGGAAAAAAGCCTGATGCCGAGAGTTTTTCCTCTGACCGTGAGAATTCCCACGGGGGATTTTCTAAACCAACGGAGGTTCTGGGAGGAAACCCGGACTCTGCCAAGGGATCCAATGATACCTCCGCATATACTGGGACTTGTTTATAAGCCTATCGGGGGATCAGATGACCCTTGAAGTTTCAGCCAAAGGACGCTGTGAAAAACTTGGGCCCCCCCACGGACAAAGGCCACCCACATTTTTCATGGTACTTTGGTTAAAAATCCGAGGGTCGTTTCATCTGCCGAGAGGGCGATAGGTAAGCAGAGATACTCCTGGACTTACAACAGTTTCTTTAGGGACTCTTCAAAGTTACAACACTGAAAATATGACACGCGTTTTTACGACCTTTGCGGCAGCCCCAGGGTGACGTGGTCACAGTTCAGACGCTCGGCGGCCGCTTCATAGTTATGACCCCGCAGGGCCCCCTCAGCTGGGGAAGCAGCCTGGAAGCAAGGGGGGACCCCAAAGGCCATGTCCCCCCCCAGGCGCTCACCATTGCCCCCCACGACCTGCAGCTCCGGGGCTTTGTGCTTGATGTAGTGAACCATGTCGATCTGGTAGACGGAGTTTCCCTGAGAGGAGTCCTGGGGGGGGGGGGGAGGAAAAGAAAGGACCACTGGGCACCCCACAGAAGCACAAGGCAAGCGGGGCTGCCTGGCCGCACCCACCCACCAAGGGCAGAGAGCAGCAGCCCTTCTTCGGGTGCCAGGCCAGCAGACCAATGTAGCCTTGAGAGGGCCAGGACGGGAATCCCTCCCCCGGAACAGACCAGGCTCCCGGCTGCAGAGTTCTGCCTGCCTTAAATCCAGACAACCCAAGAAGCCGCTGGCGGGGGGGGGGGGATGCAGGAGGGGCTTCCAGGCCCTTGACTCGTCCACCTGAGCAGCGGAAGGGGACCTCCGTGAGCCTCACAGGCGGGAGCAGAGCTCAGCCTACATTCCGGGGGCTCCTGAGGGGACTCAGGGCAAGCTTTCAGTGGGGGGGGGGCTTAGGCCTTCCAAAGGCTGCTTTTTGGGGGGATCCTCTGCTGCCAGGGATGCCAGATTCGCTTTTAAATGGCCTTTTGGCTTCCCTTGTTTTGGGGGTCCTGAGCAAAGGAGACGAGTCGCCCGGGGAGCGGGGGGAGCTTCGAACCCACCAGCACCACCACGTCCACCCCGGCCTGCACCAGCAGGTCCAGCCGGTACTTGTCGTCCTCCCGGGTGCCGATGGCTGCCCCGCACAGCAGCTGCTTGCGGGAGTCCTTGGAGGCCAAGGGATAGTCGCGGTTCTTCTTCAGGTCTGTGCGGGCGATGATGGCCACCAGCTCATCCACCTCGTTCACGATGGGCAGCTTGCCTGCAGGGCAGGAGGGCCAGGCGCTCGGTCAGGCCACGCCCGGGAAGGGGGGCGGCCTCCCCTCCCCACATCTTCCGGGAGAGGGCGGGGCAGCCTCCGAGCCCCCCATACCTTTCTTGCTCCGCTGCAGGATCTCGTTGGCCTCCTTCAGGGTGACGCCTGCCGGGGCCACCACCAGCTCACTGCGCCTGGTCATGACCTGCGGAAGGGGAAGGGGGGGCGGGGCTGCAGCCGGCCTACTCCGCCCCTGGATGGCAGGATGCCAGCGGCTGATTTAGGCAAGGGGAGGACCAGCCCAATCAGGCTGCTTTGCGCTTGGGGGGCAGAGAGGGATGAGGACAGCGCCTCCTGAACTGGGCTCAGCAGGGGCACCAATCCAGCCGGGCAGCTGCCCCAGAGGAGGAGCTGGCTCTTGCTAGCCCCCCCGTCCCCCCCACCAGAGGGCTTCTGACCCCTGGGAACCCTGGGGGGGGGAGGTTCGCTGCCTGACCTCATTGAGAGGGGTGTTGTAGTCCTTCTCGGACAGGAAGTCGATGTCCCTGGAGGTCACCATCCCCACCAGCTGGCTCTCCATCTTGCCCGTCTCCGTGATGGGGATGCCCGAGAAGCCGTGCCGGATCTTGGCCTCGAAGACGTCCCCCACAGTGTGGTTGGGGCTCAGGACCACCGGGTCGGTGATGAAGCCTTGCTCAAACTTCTGTGGCCCGAGGAGGAAGAGGGGAGGCCTTTTCTGCAGAGCTGCCCCTCCCCCACTTGCCCTCTCGGCTCCCCTCCCCGCCCTTCCCACACGGGGCAGCCTGGCAGGCGGGTCTGGGGAGGGGGCTTCCGACACAAGGCCAGCCCTCTGCCGCCAGCGTCCCTGGGCTTCTCCTGCAGCCCCACGCCCAGCCCATCCCCCAGGCCGGACCCCACAGCGCCAAGGGCCCCCCTCACCTTGACTTTGCGCACTTCGTTGGCCTGGAACTCCGGGGTGCAGTTGTGGTGGATGATCCCAATGCCCCCCATCAGCTGCAGGGGGAGAGAGAGGTGGGAGCCCTGAAGCCCCAAGGCCGGCCCTGCCCTCTGGCCCCACGTCCCCATGCAAAGGGGCCCCGGGAGGAGCCGACCCCTGGGCAGACCCACAGCAGGCGCCCCACCAGCCCCGCGAGAGGCTCACCGCCATGGCAATGGCCATATCTGACTCGGTGACGGTGTCCATGGGGGAGGAGATGAGGGGGGTCTTCAGGGTGATCTTCCGGGTCAGGGCGGAGGTCAGGTCCTGCAAGCAAAGAGGGTCAGCCCAGCCTTCTGCCAGCCAGGGGCGTCCCGTTCCCCCCCCCCGGTCCTCTCCCAGGCCGAGCTGGGAGGCTCCCCCGGAGGGAGATGGACACAGATGGGGGAGCAAAGCCTGTTCCCACCCTGGGAGCCGTGCTGGAGCTCTCAAGGCGAGGGGGCCGAAGAGGACAGCCGGGGGCCCCTTGGACGGGCTCCCCAGAGGCCCCGCGGGAAGCCGCCTCTGCCAGACTCACCACTTCGTCTGCCGTGAAGTCGATGAAGCCGGGAAGGATGAGGAAGTCACTGTGGGGAGAGACGGAGGGCTCACCCAGGGCCACAGGCAGCCCAAAGGGGAAGCGGGAGGGACACCAGAACAGCCGCGGTGCAGTTTACAAGGCCGTAAAGGGCTGGGGGCTGTTTCAGCTCATCTCCCCCCCCCCCCCCCAGCCTGTGCTTTGAACCAGGCCACAGCCGGGAGCTGCCCTGTGATTTCCCTGCCTCCACTTCCCACGGCGTTTAACACACACCCATCTACTGGGTGGAGTTCAAGGCGGCGTCCCCTCTGGACTGGGGATCCTCCAGAGGGCTTTGAACTTTTATTTAGCTTTCCAACAGAATCATGCAACAGAGTCCATACACAGGAGAGGATGCCAGCAAGCCAGAACAAAGTGTAAATCCTCAGCTAGATCAAAACTGCGGAGGTTTCCGCTAGAAAACAAAGTGGATCCAAGCCAGGCTTTCAAACCCCGGAGGAAGCTTTCCCAAAGCCCCCCCCACCCCCCAATTCCAAGAACTCTGCATCGCCCCCTCCTCAATTTGACCACATGCTCAGCTTTAAGGCAGAAAAGCAGCCCACCTTCTCCCTGGGCAGCCCCGGCCCTCGCTGATGATGGGCACACTTCCTTGGTGCAGGGACCATGGGGCTGCTCCCCCATCCCTGCAGACACACACACACACACATGCACGCACGTCTGATCAGCCTGGCTCAGCCCCCCCACAACCTCCGGAAGAGCCTTTGCCACAGCAGCTGACCCATGGGCACGCCCAGCACAAGCGAAGGCCACTGCCTTTGGGGCAACACAGCCTGACCCAGATCAGGCCCTCCTCTTCCCACACACACACACCAGGATGACTGACGGACCCCCCAGTCTGGTGTGAGTGGGCAATTAAAAGCTCACCCGTCCCCCTCAGCCCTCCAAGAAGCGGCTCTGGGGATGCCACCTGCCAAAAACTCCGTGCCCCAGAGGATGCCAGGCGGTGCTCAGTCATTACGCATTAACCGAAGGCTGAGAAGAAGCAGGGGGGGCAGCTCAGCAGGTTAAACAGCAGGTTGTTTAAACCTGCAATTAGGGAGGGGCTTAATGGGGAGGACTGAGCCAAGCAAGAAGAGGCTCTCAGGGAAATTGGGACTCTTTTCCTGAAGAAATTTAGGAGACTTAACCATGAAATAGGAGCCAAAACGGGGCTCCGCAGAGCAGGGAGGGGCTATGCAGCCTCCCCCCCCTCCCGGGTTCAGGATTGCAAGAGAGCAGGGGCCCAACTCTGCAGGCGGCGTGTCTGGGGAAGGGGGCCCCCCACTTCTCTGGCCCCTGCACCCAACCGCTCTTGCGGCTCAGAGGAAGCGAATTTTAACGTTGGTTTGTCAGAAGCAAAACAAATTTCCGTTCCATTATGAACCTTGCTTGGCGGAGCAGAGAGCACCGAACTGAAAGTGAAAACAGAGGAGGAAGCCGCCACATAGTCGGCCTTCGGAGGGGCCCCCAAGCAGATGGAGGGCGAAGGCCAACCGGGGAAACAGGTGTGAGAGGAGCCGCAAAATCAGCAACACAAGTTAGAAAACTCTGGTTGCTGGAAGATCCACCCTGCACTCCTGTATCGTTCCCCCCCCCCCCGCATCTCATTCCCACCCTTGGGGGAACCCTTCCAGCTCCTCCACGCCTTCTCTGTCCCCAAAACCAGGGCCAAGGAAGGGAGGCCCCCCCGTCAAAAGTTTGCACAATTCCCTGCAAAGCTAAGAGGACGCCCAGCCTGACTCCCCTCCCTGCAACTGCTGTGGTTCTGTGGCTGACCCTGCAGGAGACCCGCCTTCCAAGATGCCGCAGACGTTCCAGCCAGACCCCCTTTGTGCCACTGCATCCTCCTGCAGGAAAGCAGCCCCTCGGGAGGAGGGCGGGGTCCCTCCTGCACCGCCAAGCAGGCTCAGGGCGCACCCCCACTCCCTCCACACAGTGGTGCACGAACCCTTAAGCAGACTAAGCGGGCGCTCAGGGCACCAGGCCCAAAGGGGGCACCACAAAGTTGAGAAAGAAAAGGAAAACCAGTGAAGATCTGTATAGGCTCTACAGGTGGGGGGGGGGCACCAAGATCTGTCAGTGCTTAGGACACCAGTGAGCCTTAACCCACCAGGCGGATGGGATGCCACAGAGGCAGGAGGACCTGGGTGCCTTTGCCAGCCTCTCCTGCCCACGTTTTGCAGGGCACCTACTGCTCACAACCCTTCCTGCACAGGCCCAGCATCTCAGGAAAAGGGGCCGGGTCAGCAGAGACCCCCCCAACCTGCTGCCTGCCTGGATGGGGTCAGCCCAGAAACAGGAGACAGCCAGGGCTTAGCTAGAGGTCTGGGAGGGTTGGAGGGGTGAGATGTACCATCAGCTGAGCAAGGGGGGGGGGAGCTTCGGCCCACTCCAGCCAAGCGGTCCTTTCCAGGGGGAGAGCTGGGCTGCCCAGGCGGGTGGGCGACCGGTGGCTGCAGCGTCCCTTCCGCACCCGGCCTCGTTCGCCCGCAGGCCCTTGCCCGGGCTCGCAAAGGAAGGCCAGCGCCCCCTCCCCCCCCCCAGCCCCGGGCCGGCCGGAGCGTCCGCGGAGCTTCCCTCGCTCCGCAGAGCCACGTGCGGCGCCATTTCCTCCCGGGCGGCCGCCGCTCCTGCGACCCCCGCCCGCCCCCTCCCCGCCCCCCCGCTTACTTGTAGGTGAGCCCGTCCGCCACGGCGAAGAGCTGCTGCGCCGTCAGCCCATCCTCGGGGACGTAGCCGGTGCCGCCGCTGATCAGGTAATCGGCCATGCTGCGCAGGGAGGAGGGAGGGACTGTCAGCCTGCGCCCCCCCCCAAGACCCCCCCCCCCCCCGGGGCCCCCCCCCCCCCCCGGGCGGCTCCCCG